TCTTTCCCCTTAGAAACTTATCCCAAACCCCACCAGGCTAGTGAAATGAATGCTAAACTATGTGAAAACATCTTGTACTCCTTCTGGTCTTTCCAACACCTAAACCAATAAAATACCTCAAAAAAGAGGAAGAAGTCAACAATTGTATATGTGTCAAATGTGCTGAATGACTCGATTATTTGAACAAAACAGCCTACTTCCACATACATGTATAAAAATATTTTCTAGTAGTTTTGTAACAATTACTAGAAATATTGGAATCATACTGTATTTACATTATAAAACTACTTTTAATAGAACCTACGCTAACATGGGTGACTCTTCATTTGTTGCTCCATTGTGATAACCACTGTTCTTCCAAATGAAAATAACTACAGGGAAACAAGTAAGGAAAAAGCCAGTAACTCCAGAGAAAAAGCAGAAGATGGGGGTACTAAATATGCCATTAGTTGCAAATCAGGTGACAGAGACACAACTGATGAAGGCCAGAAAACTTTTTGTCCGTGGTTGAAGCTATCCTAGCTGGTTCTAACCACCCAGCTTGCTTATGTTCGGAGTCTGTAACACTCTGCCCTCCTCTGTTTCACTCTCATCTGAAAAGATGAGTTGTCCTCAGAGAACAGCCATATAGCTGTTCATGGCACTGAAGAACACACTGCAGAAGAATCATTTTACAACCTCTTTGAACCAGATACAGACTGCCAACTCATGTGCTGTACCTGAGACTGATCTGGTCCCATCTTAAATTATTTTGCAGCAGCAGCCGTTTAGAATGCAAGCATCATAGCCTCTCCTCTGCTTTGCTATCAGACTGACCAGCTGCATCTGATCCGGGAGCTGACCAGACCACTCGGCACAGCACCTCATGCAGGAGGCTGCAGTGCTGAGCATGCAGGCCTGTTAGTGCATGCCCCAGCAGAAGGCTTACTTTCTTGAAATGCAGCCAAATCCATGGCAGAAACTGTACGCGTACATGTGGGATACCTACATATACCACATAGCCTCATATATAGATTCTCTTGCTTTGCAACACCAAGAATTTTGTTCTGAATTTATAATATGGAAATGGAAAGTTTTAAAAATATGAAATGAATTACAGAACCTTTAAATCTTTATAGCATATAAAAGTAATCTAACAGAAACTGCCCAATAAGTCTTGCCAACCTGACACAGTAACATTAATGCTGACAGTCACCACAGTTGTATTTTTTTAAAAGGTCTTTCTTAACACCGACCAACACATTTTCTCTTCAGCACTTCCAAGACCTTAAGATCAGGTTCCATGTGGGCCATACCTCTTCAATAACATGCTTTGAGTACGTAAGCCTCTTTGAAGCTTCCATTCATACCTGGCACTTTTTTAACTACACAAGACCATTTAAGAGAATGATTACATTCAGTTAAACTATCTTGCTTCCAGCCTCTCTAAAATTTGAATATGGTTCCACATATTTCACATGAGGAAAATCCTGCAATATTCCCACACATTTGACAAATTACAGAGTAGCAAATTGAGTAGACAAAAAAAAAAGAGTAACAAATGTATTTCGTCTTGTAAGAATATTTAATTGTTTTACATTAATATCCAATATTAAATTGCTTTTCTCTTATCCTTAAATTCAATCATAAGTAGAGCAGCAATATAAACTCACATTGAACTGTACAGAATAATTGCATCAATGATAAACCATGAAATGTAAACTCAGTATTTTACTGAATTGTAAAACCCAAACAATTTCCTCACACTCAGCGTGATTTTAAATATTTTAGATACATACTCCATAAGGACAAAAAAATGACTCCAGTTAATCATGTTTAGAAAGTATACAGACAGATGGATACAGATAGAAAAAGCTCCATCACGTCCCAAGTAACACAAATACATTTAAGGAAATCAGAATTATCTTGATCTTTAGATTGTTAAGGAAAGTCTAATGAGGAAATCCATAACTGCTAAAACCAAAATGAAGCCATCATCTCTTCAGGAATACCAATATCATAATTAAATGGATTAAATGGACCACATTGGAAAGATATTTAACAAGTATTAAACCTGACATGTAAGGTTCTGAAGGTAAACCCTGAATGTAGGGTCATTGCTCTCCATCAATTCTGAGGTGACAAGTCTACTGTTTGTGCTATTACACAGCATAACCACTACAGTTCCTATATGTGGCCTGGCTCAGACACATCAATACATACATGAAAACAAAGAGTGTTAAGACCTGGTGATGCAGAACATGGGACACAACATAACCCGTACTGAAGAAATCAAAGAAGTCGCTAGAAAAACATAGCCTTTACATAATATTGTCAGTTCTTTAAAAACAAAGCTATTAAGAAATTTGACTATGGATCAGCTGCCATTATCTGCGTTACAAAAGGACCTAGAATCCCCTACTAAGATAAGAAAACCTGTTCTAAACACCACATAAACATATAAAAAGGAATAGTGAACATTTAGAACAAGTGAGAATACATTCTGTTACTGGTCATCTTCCATCCTTTCTCTGGAAACATCACGGCTAAATACTACTGTTGAAAACATTCCTTACTAAGCTTTCATATATGGCCACCTTTATTCAGACACTTCACAGTGTGTGTACATTACTTCCTCACTCTTCTGTCCTCAAATCCATTGCACCATTTTACTCTTTCATATCATAACATATAATCTCATATCCTCAGACAACTGCACACTCTGTGACTGCCAGCTTGCCAGAAAATCCCACTCCATGTACATGCTCCTCTCCCTCATATAATCTCTTCCCTTCCTATATTAAACAGTTTATCCGTGTGAAAGAAAAATTGGGCAGACTATTTCTTTCCTTGGTTGTGTGAGATTAATCTCTTCTCAGTAACATTCTGGTCTTTCTGGCTTAAGCTCAAATAACCTGAAGTAACACCAATGTGAATAAGGATAAGGTAAAAAGAGAAAAAAAATACTTGAAGTTTTTTATAGCTGACTTTTTGTGTGAGTAGGTGTACCTGCACCAATATAGAAAGGAGTACTCAATGTCATGCTATAAATAGCTCCTCCTGGGAGCCTAATAGCTCTGCCTCTGCTTTCACAGAGCACAGGCAATAAACTATCACTATTACATTTTTACAATTCAGGAACAAACAGATTTAAGCAAAAAAAGGTTTCTATTTCTACAGCAAATCCAATAAAAGAAACATATTTATGCCATATATAAGGCTGTGTTTATAGAGTATACTCACATTTGAAATAAAAAGACCTGAAGTTGTAAAAACATAATGCTTTATCCACTTTAGAATTCTACTTCCAAGAAAATAACATGATTAAAAATATGCAGCTATTCATTAAGACATTTTATTTATGAAAGAATTATTATTTATCACTTGGAGAATATTTATACTGCCCATTATGTATCTGCTACCACTGTAAATCTAACGTCAAAATCAGCTTTGCAGAAGACACAATAAATTCACATGAGTTTCTTTTGGAGATGAGAGTGAAGGGGGAAAAGATACAATTTGCTTTTTAATGAAGACGCAAACCATACATGGCAAAACATACACCAGTCCAGAATAAAATGTTAGAAACTGTATTGCATTGCAATAGTGGTAAAAGTGGTAACTGCTTTCAGGGTTTCATAAGCCATGTTTTTATTTTAGTTCCACAGATCACCACTTAGTCATTGTAAGGCCACTAAGCTGGTTTGGTTTTCTACAGTCTAGCTATTCCTGTGAGACTGCAATTCCAGTACGGAATTTCTGGATGCCTCTACAAGCAGCTAGAAACAAGTCACAGCATCCAGCACTATTGCCCTGCCAGGTAATCAGAG